TTTTTCTGAATAAACTTTTGGTTATAAATAATGTTGTTTTCTTGTTCTCATTGCTAAATTTACTGACTGGAGTCAGTTGACAATTTGACTCTTGTCTAGATTTGAAAACTAAATTTTTAATCATTACTGTATGAATTTGAGAGGGTGTATCGGATGCTTTAGTACTTTACATATTGTTTTAATGAATTCATTTACTTATACCAATTCAAACACTCTTTGAGAAATATTTTTACAAATTTGTTAACAGAATNTGTTTTAATGAATTCATTTACTTATACCAATTCAAACACTCTTTGAGAAATATTTTTACAAATTTGTTAACAGAATATTTTTACTATTCTCTGAGGGTTCAACCTCGGTCATCCGAGTCTATATTATTTTGTACAATCTATGCTTGGGTTAACATATTTAAAGTTGTACCAAGTTTTGGTGCTGTTGCCGGGGAACTGTTGAAAGACAAGGAGCCACCATTACATTTATTGAGGTTTCGTGGTTTACGATTCGTCGGAGATCTAATAACTCCATTCCACTTTTATTTTGCTGAAATTAATTTTTTTTGTCATTTAATTTTGTTTTCTGTTTTTAATCGTTTTTTTAATTATTTTATGAGTTCTTAATATCGTGATTTGAGTGGACGTTTAATAAGAGAAGACTTAGATACTCTACTTGTAAATTTATTTGATTCTTCTAATTCAAATCATACATCTCACACAATGGCTGTAGATCCTAATAATAACAGGAGAAATAATTTTCTTAAACATGAGGATCCTGATGACAAAATAAGTAATCATGNAACAGGAGAAATAATTTTCTTAAACATGAGGATCCTGATGACAAAATAAGTAATCATGGTGAGAATGATGTCGATAATCTGAATGTTAATCAAGGTTAGACTGTGCGTGAATATTTGTAACTTGCACGTCATACTACACCTTCATGCATCATTTTTTATTACAGGTCACAAATTTTATTTTTAAACCTGGTATAATTACATTGCTTCCAAAATTTTATGGCATGGATTCTGAAAACTCTTACCTGCATATAAGAGATTTTGAGGAAGTTTTCTGTAAAAACAATCTAGTTGAAGCTCTTTCCTTTCTCATTAAAGGGAAAAGCTAAGACTTGATTGTATTCTCTCACTCTTAGGTCTATAGGCACATGGCCAAAGATACAGAAAGAATTTTTGAAAAAAAATTTCCCTACACATCGTACAAACTCTTTTAAAAGGNATTCTCTCACTCTTAGGTCTATAGGCACATGGCCAAAGATACAGAAAGAATTTTTGAAAAAAAATTTCCCTACACATCGTACAAACTCTTTTAAAAGGCAAATCATAAATTTTTCTTAAAAATAGTTTGAAAATTTTTACCAAAGTTGGGATAAATTTAAAGACCTTCTTGCATCTTGCCCACATTATGGATATGAGAGCTGGCGTGTGATGAATTTCTTTTATAAGGGTTTGACTCCTCAAATGTGCCGATTTATAAAAATGAAGTGTAATGGTGATTTTATAAATAAGGAACCTGATGAGGCTTTTGATTTTCTAGATCGTTCAGCCGAGAATGCAGAGTCTTGGGATACTACGTCCCAAGAACCTTCTAAGAATAGGAATGTTAATTCTTCATCAATTGGGGGCAAGTATCAATTGAGAGATGATGATGACTTAAGGGTAAGAATTACTACATTGTCTAGGAGGGTTGAGGCTATAGAATTTAAAAATTTAATGAAATTGATGTTGTTTCTACTTAGAAAATTTACAGCATTTGTGAATCCCTGGACACCCCATAAAGGGGTGTCCAACAATTCCTATTTTAAAAGAAGTCCANAATTTACAGCATTTGTGAATCCCTGGACACCCCATAAAGGGGTGTCCAACAATTCCTATTTTAAAAGAAGTCCAGCATAATCAAGCAAATGTCGCAAATACTATCTCAAAGTCTTATAACAACCCATATTCAAATACATATAACCCTGGGTGAAAAAATCACCCCAATTTTAGTTGAAGGTGTGAAAATCATACATCACAAATACCTCAACAAAATTCCTCTAATTTTATTCCCTACACTCCACCCCCAGAGAGGAATTTTGAAGATGTATTATCTCAATTCATGCAAAGTCAAACTAACTTTAATAATCAAACCACTCGGCTATAAATAATATCAGAAGTACTCTTACTAAATTGACTACTGCCCCATGCCATCAAGAGAAAGGTAAACTTTCAGTTCAACCCTAACTAAATCCGCAAGGTCAATTTAATGTAAATGAGACTCTCACATTTGATACTGTACATAAGCAGGTTAAGTCTATCACCATACTTCGTAGTGGGAAAGTAATAAACAAAATTGTTCTTACTAGAGTTCAAGATTCTGAAAGAATTTCAAAACCTATGAAGAGTGATGATAAATTTGACCAATCTGAAATCATGAAGCCTGAGAGAAATTTGACATTTGCACCATTCCCACAAAGAAATGTGTCAAGCCAAACATACACAATGATATGATGAAAATATTTAAATAAGTTAAGATCAATATTCCCTTGTTGGATACTATAAAACAAATACCTTATACAAATTTTTTGAAAGATTTGTACACTGTCAAAAGAAAATAAAATGTGCAAAATAAGGCATTTTTAACTGAACAGGTATCTTCCATCATTCAACATAAGACTCCACCCAAGTATAAAAACCCTGGTTGTCCTACCATCTCTTGTGTTATTGACAATCATAAAATTGAACAAGTTTTACTAGATTTGGAAGCTAGTGTGAATTTACTTCCATATTCATTATATGAACAATTAAGGTTAGGGGAGTTAAAACCCACTTCTGTTACATTCCAATTGGCTAACTATTCAGTGAAAATACCTAGGGGTATGGTGGAAGATGCTTTGGTCTATGTTGATAATTTCTACTGTCCTATGGATTTTATTATTTTGGATACACAACCTGTGTTAAGTTTTAATGTCAGATTCCTGTCATATTAGGCAGAGCATTCTTGGCTACTTCGAATGCTTTGATTAATTGCAGGAATTGTGTGATGAAACTATCTTTTTGTAATATGACATTAGAACTTAATATTTTTAATGTGTGCAAATAACCTGGAGAAATTGAGGATGATGTGCATGAGGTAAATATGATTGAATTTATTGTTCCAAACAGAGTATATGATCTCTCTTTGTTTGATCTACTTGAAGCATGTTTGTCCATCTTTGTTAGAAATAAGTGAAAATAATTCTAAAATTAGTAAACTAACTTCCTTATTAAATTCCTCACAGGTTTTTGAGGTGCAAGATTGGAAACCGAAGTTCGACGAGTTTTCACCAAAAACCAATCGACCAATTTCATCAAGTGCTAAGGTTACCAAGCTCGAATTAAAACCATTAATGGAAAAGATTAATCATTTGTTCAGAAAAAGGTGGTAAATGTGATGATTTATTAAAGATTTGTTATTATGATACTAATGGAAGAATTCTGTTTGTTTTGCAGGAAAATGATTAAAAAAATTGGAGAGATAAAGGTGAATGAAGAAGAGCAGCTAAGTTAGACTTACTGGAATGCGCATCCGGACAAAGGATTGCTATTGTGTCTAGACAAAGTTGACAGAATGAGAAGATGGACGTGCTTTGAAGAATTGGAGCATACTACCAAGTGCGTCCGGACGGTTGAATATACACGTTCGGACGCGTGTCGTTAAGGATGCCAACGCCAGTAGTAGAGTTGGATTTCAATTGGATCTTTTCTGAAGGGAAATATTTATAACGAGGGGATAGTTGGGGTAGGAGTCGGCTTTTACTTTAGTATTCCTATTTATTTTCTGGTTAAATTTCATCATGTTTGGCTAAGAGGTCTGACTACGGTTAGGCGAGAACCTCTCAACGAAGTACGGTATTATTATTGACTTATTGGTTTAATAGTATGTGGTATTTTGTTTATTTAACTTTTGATTATTAGTAAAGTTTTTACTTTGTAAAGATTCTTGAGTCGTTGTGTCTTATACTTTGATTTCTTGAATTGTCATGCGAAACAAATAACTAATTATTCTTTACTTAAGTTAATTACAATTTATTTCACATAATAATATAGCTTGAGGATTGTGTGGTTAAGTCAAGAATTCGATTGCTAAGAAAGTTTAATTTATTATAGAATTCAGGTACAGTAAATACTTACAATCGGCAATCAGTTCTTTGATTTTTCTGAATAAACCTTTGATTATAAATAATGGTGTTTTCTTGTTCTCATTGCTAAATTCACTGACTGGAGTCAGTTGATGGTTCCACTCTTGTCTATATTTGAAAACTAAATCTTTAATCATTACTGTATGAATTTAAGAGGATGTACATGATGCTCTAGTACTTTACATATTGTTTTAATTAATTCATTTACTTATACCAATTCAAACACTCTTTTTGAGAAACATTTTTACAAGTTGTTAACAGATTTAGTGTGGCAACTATTGTGTTTTACTATTCTCTGAGGGTTCAACCTCGGTCTTCGGAATCTATATTATTTTACACAACCTGCGCTTGGGTTAACATATTTAAAGTTATACCACTATACTCTTAATCACATATCATCATATCTGTTGAAATGGTAGAACATTCTAGTGGAAAAACATCTTTTTATATTGGTCCCAAAATTCCATCGGATTACATCCCCAACACATACATGCAACTATTTTAGTTCACCAGCCTCGGTGGAAAATTCCCGGAAGAGAAAGAAAACATCTCTTACTTCAAAAGCCACCACCTCTCTTAAACGTGTCTTTGTAATCATTTAATGACATATCCATCCCAAGGAGAGAAGTATAAAAAGGAGTGGATGTGACTTGTAGCTTCTTAAAGAGCTTTGAACTAGAATNGAGAGAAGTATAAAAAGGAGTGGATGTGACTTGTAGCTTCTTAAAGAGCTTTGAACTAGAATAGTTTCTAAGGACACCAGAGCTAGCCAACAAACATGTTCAAAACTGGCAGGAATTAATTTGGTACCTGTATCTTGGACTGAAAGGTCAAAAATGCCTCCGAAATTGTCGGCAATGGAGGTTCTTTAGCTTTGTGATCTTTTTCCTCCTCTTCCTGGCCTCCGCAGCTGCAGCTGCATCTACTAGCTTCTCACTTGAGCAGACTGTTGGCTCCTGATTGTTTTCTGGCAATGCATTTACCATCTGACTAACCGTTGCAGAAACAGCTGTAACGGTAGATATGTAATCAGGTTGTGCACTAGTCTCAGCTTCGACATGGACCACAGGCCTGACACAAGTCAATGGTCCGGGCACAAGAACCATCTTTTTACTGCAAGGCCCAATTTGCTGACCACCGCCATCCGGTGGGAAACAAAATGTGCTCTCACGAAGATTGTTCGAAGGTATGGACTCTGTAGGTTTAGAAGCTTCTGTTTTAACTACTCTAGGTAATGGTGAGTTGTGGTTCTCTACATGTGCTGTAGCTTTTGAAGATGAACTAGGCCAACACAGGTTATTCAGACGAGTTTCATTTAGTTGATTGTTTATATCGAATGGCTGATAGTGGAATCCACTAGTGTTGCTGGGTACAGGGGAAAAACCCANGACGAGTTTCATTTAGTTGATTGTTTATATCGAATGGCTGATAGTGGAATCCACTAGTGTTGCTGGGTACAGGGGAAAAACCCAAACATGGAAATATATATGGGGGAGTTCCCAGGCTATTCACCATCATGGAATTTTCTTGTTCATTAAGTGAATCAACTTCGCCATAAGCTGGCATGGGGACTTGTGGTGGAGTACCAGTGACATTCTGAAGCCCGCACTGAAATTGGAGATAATTTGAAGAATGTATGAAAGGACGCCACAGAAATGGTGTGTGAGGGGATTGGTTATAAATGATAAATGGACTATTAGTGGATAGAAACCTAGAATGATCAACATTTTGCGCCTTTGATTCTTCTTGATTCTCATCTGTTTCAGCCTTCATTACCTCAGCTATCTGCAAAATGAGAGTGCATTTTAAATGAGTGCAATTGTGCAAACCATACTAAAATAAAGAATCTCTTCAACATCAACCATTTTTCACCTGTGCTTTCAAGTATTCATTTGTGCTCTTCAGAGTGTCATATTCTTTCACAGCCAACTCCNAGGTTTAGAAGCTTCTGTTTTAACTACTCTAGGTAATGGTGAGTTGTGGTTCTCTACATGTGCTGTAGCTTTTGAAGATGAACTAGGCCAACACAGGTTATTCAGACGAGTTTCATTTAGTTGATTGTTTATATCGAATGGCTGATAGTGGAATCCACTAGTGTTGCTGGGTACAGGGGAAAAACCCAGACATGGAAATATATATGGGGGAGTTCCCAGGCTATTCACCATCATGGAATTTTCTTGTTCATGAAGTGAATCAACTTCGCCATAAGCTGGCATGGGGACTTGTGGTGGAGTGCCAGTGACATTCTGAAGCCCGCACTGAAATTGGAGATAATTTGAAGAATGTATGAAAGGACGCCACAGAAATGGTGTGTGAGGGGATTGGTTATAAATGATAAATGGACTATTAGTGGATAGAAACCTAGAATGATCAACATTTTGCGCCTTTGATTCTTCTTGATTCTCATCTGTTTCAGCCTTCATTACCTCAGCTATCTGCAAAATGAGAGTGCATTTTAAATGAGTGCAATTGTGCAAACCATACTAAAATAAAGAATCTCTTCAACATCAACCATTTTTCACCTGTGCTTTCAAGTATTCATTTGTGCTCTTCAGAGTGTCATATTCTTTCACAGCCAACTCCATTTCCTTCTCAATGTCAACAAGAGAGAATGAATTCCCAGAATTGAGATGCTAAGATAAGATGTTTAAATAACTTCCAATATGGAGGCGAAGATTGGCGAGGGATTAAGAACATCATGCATAAGATAAGAATATCCAAATACTGCTAGAACACAAGACTATCACCAAAGCAGCATGATTAAACCATGATATTGAATTAATGCAAGGACTACCTACCCTCTTCAAATTTTCATTCTCAAGTGCTAGATCAGCAACTTTTCTGGTGAACTCCTCGTAAAGAACCTAATAAAAGAAAAAATAAAGTGCTGAGTAATAATAACTGAAGAAAACTTCAAGTTGACCAAATTGGCACTCGCAAATACATTGTACTGATTTTCAGAAAGTAATGCTTCTGAGCAAAGCCCACTGCGTTCAACAATAAAAGCAAATCCAACAAATTATGCAATTCCAAGCTGCAAGTGCTTGCTTACTCCAAAGCATGCCCACACAGGCCAAACCGAACACCACTGGGCACTAGCAAACGTGATTCAATATTCAGCTATATGTGATGCATTAAGGTAGAAGAATGGGGATCAAATTGTTAAGCAGACATCAAGGACACTTGCTACATTGTTTCTATTATGGCTTGCATCTCTCGGAATGACTACAGAATACAAATGAAATGAGAGAGAGACACCAATTATGTGACATATAATGCACATCCTAGGCCCATCACCTTAACCCCTTCCCCTGCTCTCTGGTCCTTATCGATCTGGCATATTCACCGCAATCAGTGAACTAATTAACCTAGAAAACCAAACCTATTTGACCCTTTTCTCTTCTAAGAGGTCCACAACATTCACCTCCACCTGTAAACCCTAGAAGTGCAACTTATGTAACAATATAGTCAATCATTTCAGAATTTACATATTGCATGAATATGCTTCAAACCCCGAAGTGTACAACCACATTATTTTTCAAACAAAAAAGGGAATATACTAACCGGTAGAGCATCCAACTCAAAACCAATTGGTAGTGAGTGGAGAGGCCTCTTAAGATATAAACCAATATGCTCCTAATCATAGACGAAGATGCATACGGAAAATGCAAATAGGTAAGAGACTTGACCCAATCCCAACCCAAGGCCCACCTCTGGTATCATGCTAAAGCATCCAACTCCAAACCCTGAAACATAGAAACCAACCTTAGGTGGTCCTAACCATGTGAAATACAAGCTCTCTCTACACTAACTACCAAATGTACTCTAAGGTCAAGGATACATTGCAAGTACCATATATCCAAAACCAAGTCCAACTACCTTTCCAATCCTACACATAAATTTACTTGTCTTTCATCCACAAAAACAAAAAGAGAAAACCAAACTTTGAGAGCTGATTTGACGCAGGCGCCACTTACTAATGATTCCAGAAGCAGCTCCCAACCATAACCCACTAAGATAAACTNCTAGTCCAACTACCTTTCTAATCCTACACATAAATTTACTTGTCTTTCATCCACAAAAACAAAAAGAGAAAACCAAACTTTGAGAGCTGATTTGACGCAGGAGCCACTTACTAATGATTCCAGAAGCAGCTCCCAACCATAACCCACTAAGATAAACTTTCACCACCAAAGCTGATTGACTTCCAGTTATCTTAACCTAAATTACAGACACCTTTAGTCGGTACCAGAAATAAACGTCCAGCTTTCCATCTTTCCTGTTATAAGCATTTCAGGAAGGTAGTAAGGGTATAGTACATATGTCACACTCATTCCCCATAGCCACATAAGATTGAGCAACACCAATTTGAATTCTGATGAACTGTCACTTTAAGAGGAACCAACAAGCAATCACAATGGTGAGGTAATCATAACAACGGAATATCCATGACTACACTGCTATGGGATAACATTTTGGATGATGCAGTAACTAAAAAGGGAAGGTAAAGAAAAATGCAAAAAGAGGAACGAGCCACTCAGAATTCTATTTTAGCAGACTAAGAACATTGAGCAATCAAAGAGAGCAAGATGCAGTACCCATATTGGGTGGTTCAACATGGTGAAAGAAATACCCTAATATATGAATTTTGGAATACTGTTACTCTAAAACCCTAATTCAACAGTGCTATAGTACCTAGAAATTTTCTGTCCCTATGTTCACTTGCCTGCAAACCACACCATTTGATAGGACAACGCTTATTAATAGACTTATAGACAGAGACGTAGATGCTGGCTGCTAGCAAGGTGTTCAGTGACATATTATATATGGTAAAATGATTGAGTTCTTTTTTTTTTTGGTACTGGAAATGATTGAGTTCTGAGAATTTGATCTGTTTGCAATAGATAAGTACAATTGACGCTTGGATCGTGTACACAAATACACAAACACACAGAGACTGAGTTAAGTTTGGTTTTCAGTGAACATCCATATAACAAGAAGAGCTTGAGATAGAGGATATGTGTAATAGGTATAAAAAATAGAAAAAATCCAGGGCCAACAGTAGAGTTGAGTAGCAAGACAGCTTCACCCATGTTTGAACTGAGATTAAGATATAAATGCAAAGCATCCAGAATGAACAAAGAAAAAGAAATAAATATCAAAGATGGTCCCAAACATGCAGGAAATGAACTATTTCGATAAAATAAATCGAGAGCACAAAACCACAAAAAAAAGGTTTTTAATGTATCACAACTNAGGGCCAACAGTAGAGTTGAGTAGCAAGACAGCTTCACCCATGTTTGAACTGAGATTAAGATATAAATGCAAAGCAACCAGAATGAACAAAGAAAAAGAAATAAATATCAAAGATGGTCCCAAACATGCAGGAAATGAACTATTTCGATAAAATAAATCGAGAGCACAAAACCACAAAAAAAAGGTTTTTAATGTATCACAACTCAGCCAACCAGATAGTGAAAAGAAGATTTGCAAGTTGACTACTGAAGCTGAGTAGTTAGTGATCAAAAGATGAATTGAATTGTGCAAAACGGACTTACCTGCCTACGGCGAATAGTCTGCCTTGCTGACTCTCTGTTTGCCAATACCCGACGAATCCTCCGTGCTTCATTTTCAGCCTAGATAGGGAAACCTTTAATTTCTTAAAATGATTGCATTTCAGCCAAAATTTTAGAAAGAAACAGAAAATTTTGGCACCTCAGCTAAATTCTGCCTAGACTTGTTGCAGCCAGATGAATCATAACTTTTGGTGCATACAAGACACTGTTTAGCTAATTCATCTTCCTGCTTAACCTCCACTGGTTTTATCATCACATTGCATCTCTTTTCGAACTGCTGCTGAAACACTAATGCTCGATCCTGCTATCAAAGAAATTCTTACAAAATAAGTGCAATTTTTCATTGGGATTTAAATATGAGAAGTGGACTCTAATTATAGGTGGAGAGAGAGAGAGAGAGTAGCACATGCCATCTCCTTTGTATTTCTGGGCTGTTTCTACAGAAGACTATCCAACATATCCGTGAGAACCAATAAAGGCGTGAAAAATCTCTCCTATGGTGAATTTCAAATGAGAATATTTAGATGTTATTTGAAATATGGTCACTGGTAAGGCTTACGCCCATAGGAGGATTCTGTCAATTATCTAAATATACCAGCGTGTTTAAGCTACTCAATCTCCGGCAAACGTAAATATAAATAAACATATAAAAATCCACCCATCCAAATCAGTAAATACAGACACACCTAAGATAAATTCATTCGTATAAGATGCTTACTGAAGCCATTCAGAAGAAACTGCATAGTAGGCTAAAAAATCTTAGCAAAGAACAAGCGAAGGAACAAGTTCAGAATTATGTCAATGTCGTGGATGCACACGCCAAAGCAATAGAGCTTCCATGTACTCATCAACATTCTTGTCAAGAATTCTGAAATTTCAGTGAAGGACAAGGATAAAAAAACAAAACCACAAGTACAAACAGACGAATCTCGGATCCAGCTTCATACTTGTGCAAAAACAGAGACATGCGACTGGAATTATTCAAAACCACCAGGCTTCGAAATTACAGGCCCTGAAGGTCCAGATATTTCAATTTAACTGATGGATCCACATTACAAGATTTCCCAGTTCTCTAATGCATAAAGCCACAAAAGGCTCAACACCAAATGGTTTTCTTATGTCTACTTCATGCTCAGTCTCACATCTCATGTTTCTTTTGTTGTTATAAGCTACACTAGCCATAGTTGATCTACATTTGATCACTCCAAACTATATAGAAAGGCTGAAAAATAAGAAAAACCTTCTACCAACTAGTATGAGGAGAAGAGCTTACATGCAATGGGGAAATCCAAATAGTTGTACGTCAACTTCTTGAATCTTTTGTATACGATTGACCAATTAAAAGAAAACAAGTAAAAAACTTAGACTAGCAACTAAACAAAGTGTAAGTCTGCCTAGAAATAGAACAACCATTCAATTAAATCACCACAGGAGTCATTGTGTAATACAGTCATAAAATGATCGGGCTGACATTGAAAGAATTGTGTGTTCAAATGTCAGGAGTGCTAAGGTTGCGGATTCAAATAGGAGGATAGTCACTTACTGAATCTAATGAAATACTGCAATGCTGTGCTCAGTCTTCCCACCTCAGTGCCATTCCAAGAACCAAATTGAACAGTTACCTTTTTCATTTAAGTCAATCGAAGATTGAACCCATAGAATGACATGAACCATTAAGCCATTATACCTTTTCTCTTCATCAAAACCCACAATACCTTCCCTCAAAAATTCAATCATCAAAAAGTTTCTAGCTGATATTTCTAATCCTTAAGAAGTTACTTACCTTGCTTGAGAGTGATAGTTGCAGTCTAAGTTTCTAGCTGACATTTCTAATCCTTAAGAAGTTTCTTACCTTGCTTGAGAGTTATAGTGGCAGTCTCAATCTATATTCCCTAATCGGATTCAAAAATCTAATCCTCAATAAATTGCGAAGTTGATAATTGAACACAAAATAGTGAAACATTCAAATTAATAGTAACAGCAATTCATCAAGCACACACACATATATATATTTAAAGGTATGCAACGAAATCGAAATAACCTCATCGAGAACCGAAGACCTTGCAACCGAGTCTTCCCGGTTAGTCGTCCCTGTGTCAACTGCGTTCTTGACTCGCTGACTCACTGATTCGGTGACAGTATTGCCGCTGCCTCCCGCCGCCGAGTAGTGCGCTAGACCCGCCAACGCTTCCGCCGCATCCAGCTCCATTTTCAGCATCCCGCATTCCCCCGAAGCTTCCCCTTCCTCCGCCGTGTGCAACCGAGAAGCTGACGGCGAAGACTTTGTTGCGGCTCCATTATGAGTCAACTCATCGTCCATGTTAGTCTGTGTATCTAAAAGACAGAGAGAGCCAATTTTAAGGTGGCTCTGTGTGTGTAAGAGAGAGAGAGAGAGAGAGAGAGAGAGAGCTTCAGCTTTAAGGCCTGAGGAGTGAGGAGGAACAGAACGTGCAGAGAGATGACTAGTTAACGAAGGGGGAATATGCCACGTGTCATGACACCAAAATCGAGGTCCTGCATGNTAGTTGCGGCTCCTTTATGAGTCAACTCATCGTCCATGTTAGTCTGTGTGTCTAAAAGACAGAGAGAGCCAATTTTAAGGTGGCTCTGTGTGTGTAAGAGAGAGAGAGAGAGAGCTTCAGCTTTAAGGCCTGAGGAGTGAGGAGGAACAGAACGTGCAGAGAGATGACTGGTTAACGAAGGGGGAATATGCCACGTGTCATGACACCAAAATCGAGGTCCTGCATGTATGTTCGCCACGTGTCCGATTAACCCACGTTGGAAGTTTCGCGCGTTGTAATCATCTCGCGCGTGGGACGGATGACTCTTGGAGTACAAAGGCAGGTGTAACACGTAGCCTATTTGGGCAAGTGACACGTGGTACCAAAAACATGTGTCCGATTTTTGAGGTTGCTGGCGGGCCCTGGTGAGCCACAGGGGACCACAAAAGCACTCTAATTTTGGAATGGAAGATAATTGGTGCAGCATAGGGTGAGCCAGTGGGTAAACCAATCAATCCCTTATGGGTGCCTAGGCATTCATCGGACCACCCAGGCTCAAAATTTGCCACTCATCCTCAAGTTGTTCCACTTTATTATGTATTCAAGTTTTAGTTATAAAATTTCATTTTTCAAATGAGATGATCATATCATTCGCCAACATATAAGTGGGGTTTAAATCAAACGATGCAATCATATTATCACCAACAGAAAAGTGGAGTTTTTGAGGGCTGGATTATTTGAAGAGGTTGAATTGATTTTCTCAAAACTCTTTTAAATCTAAATTTTTTTTTTATAAAGATGGGATTCAATATTGAATTCATTTCATATCCATATTTGATATGCAATACTTACACATATAAGATCCACATATATCATAATTATTAACAACTATTTGTCTTATAAATAACTATTTTATTTTTGATCAATTTAATTTATACTCGTGTTAAAGGGTATAATTGTCTTTTGAATCCTTAAACCCTTAACTCATCTTCCCCAGCCCACCCCCTCTTAAGTTTGATGAAACTCATGATCATGGATTTAATATTCGAGACAACTGCAGGCTGAATTTAAGGACTCAAGATTAAGTTTTCAATCAAAACATGGGGTTTATGGGTCATTTGAACTATTTTTCCCAAACTCATCTACTCAAACCCCTCGTACTCATTTTATCAAACAGCCCCTGAGGGTAATGTTACCGTATCAAAAAAAATCCAGTATTATACCTATTATGAATTATCTTAAGCAATTGTAATTTTACATTTAAAATATATAACTTGACCATTATAAATTGTAATTTTACATTAAAAATGTGTAATTTAATCTCTCTTGTTTTGGTTTAAAAGTCAGGGATATCTGGACTAATTTACACACATCTCAATTATTTCCTTCCCCAATCCAATCAAAAGAAAGTCATCCACTCATGAACTAAGATATTTATGATGAATAAATTTCTCATGGCCTAACTCTAAGGGATTACCAAAATTCAATTCATAACGTATAAATTTATAACTCGTCTCTATTATCAATTGAGTTACCCTCTAGATTTATAATTTAACATTTAAAAGTGAATATTTTACTTCAATCTTTTCATGTGTTAACTTGAATTGGAGTATTGAAGATGAAGATGGTCAACTATTATTTAATTTGTTGCTTCATTAATGGCTTAATATGTTGCATTGTATTAGTCATATACATTTACTAGTTATTGTCCGTGTCTGAAGGCACTGTACGACGAAAAAAAATCAACTTAAAAAAATGAACATTAGCAAGAGAAAAAAGCGGTGCACATAATGATAACAATAAATATCTAAAGACGATGAATATATAAAAAATGTACAAAAATTACCTCTAAAAACATAATTAAAAAAATTTAAACATATGCACAATTTACATATTTTATCTTCGTACCTTAAAAAGCTATTATTCATTACTTATTATTAATTTGCTCATAGTAGTAAAAAAAATTAATTAACATGCATATCAAATAAAAGAACGCTTTTTGATATCAAATAATCACTCTCTCCATACGGTTAAAGTGCAAATCCTCATTCTAAATCAACTTGATCTAACATATAACTATTATTTTTCAAATAAAATTCACACCATAGAAATAGGTATAAAAGAAATTACAAAGCATTCAAGAGACTATCTAAAAAATTGCTCGAAAATAACATTGGTTCTTTAAGTAACTTGAATTCCAATAAGTTCCAGACATTGAAAATGTACCCAACAAACTATTGAAACACTATTGCATTTGAAGTAATTAAAGTAATTAAAATCAATCCCCCTCACCTCTCCTTTCTCTCTCCTACCTCAAAACTCTAGAGCCCACATTTTCTTTGACAACAAAATTAAAACAAAAAGCAATAAACCGAAGTACAATCACAAATATCATAGTATGAGAACAATTATGTACATCGAACCCAATCTGTAATTGCACAATTCATTTGTGATTGTACTTATTCTGCATCACTATCCTGAATGTCCGTGTATCAATACGTATACGATACCGCAAGTTAGATGATTGCACAACTACCTAATTTTTTAGAAAGAAAAAAAAAATATTAGTCAATTATATTACTTAAAAAAATTGTATACTTCATTGCAACAATATAAGATTTATGTTACCTCGTTAGTGTATTTCCATCGTAAAAGCTGAGTTGTATTTATTCTTTTCATCTCTCTGACAATTTCAGACCAATCCTACAAAAATTGATATGTACTATAAAGTTAAGCATTAATTATATTAATTAGTTGAATATTTTATAGAAGTACATTTTGAACTAAATGGTACCTTTTATTTACCAATAAATACAAAACACTGTAACAAAACTTCAGGATAAACAATATTTGTTGTGAAATTACATTCATTTTCAGGAAGAATGACACTTATACGATCAAAAGATGTACATCTGGATAACGCCACATACAGATGTCCATGACTAAACACTGGTGTACGCAAATCAACCCCAACGAATTTCAAAAACTGTCCTTGAGATTTATTAATTGTCATAGCGTATGTCAATCGGACACGAAATTGTCGTCTTGTCATCTGAAAAGGCAATTCTTAAGATGTTGGTGTCAAATATATTCTTGGAATAATGACCAAATTGCCAATTTTATCTCCATTTAAAATATGAGCTTCAATTACACGCGTAGCACATCTGACAACCATCAATCGTGTACCATTACAAAGCCCATCTTTCGGCGCTATATTTTTCAAAAGCATTATTGGACAACCCACTTTCAAATTTAACTTAAGCGGTGGTAATCCCAGAGGATTTAGAGAGTTTAAACACTCATTAGGATATCGATTCGTGATAGAGCGATCAACTTCATCACTATCAACCATTTTATCTGCAACTAAATATGTAATCGTATCTCCCAGTGAAATATTCAATATTACATCATTTATAGCACATACATCATCATTCCTTGTAGAAAGAACTATATGCTCAGTTAGGAAGTCCGAGGTCACTACACTAACCATATCCAAATGTGGATAAATTTTATCTATCATTTCTTGTAGACTACGACACTTATGTATTGTTGATGGAAGTTCTACGATTTCTTGTGGATTAGTCCCAGCCTAAAAATTATAAGTACAATTAGAGAATAGGAACAAATACTAATTTCAAAAATAACATTTCATAAAATTAATGATCAATGAAATATTACCTCCATTAAAAACTTGGCAAATTCAGCATTTCCAGAATCTATGTTAGTTAAGCGCATGTTTACCTCCAAAGTTAGAACATGTATATTCTTCCATAATACAGATCGTCTCAATGACGCACCTACAAATTGCTCACGAACTCCTTTCGATATAATTGGCAAGATTTGTCAAAAATCTCCACCAAGAGCAACCTTGATACCTCCAAATGGCTTTTGATTATCACAAATATCTTGAAACGTACGATCATTGTCTCAACACAGTATCTATGTTGTATTAGAACTTCATCTCATATTATTAGTTTAGTTGATCTGAACAATTCTGCATGCTTTAATTGCCTGGTGAACCCATAAATCGAATCCTCAAGCACACTCAAGAGAATGCAAAATGTTGAATGTGTTGTACGACCTCCCATTAATAACAAAGATGCAATACCGGATGAAGGTACAATAACGACGATATGTCCAAGACTACGCATTTTTGTCATAATTGTATATAGAAACGTTTTTCCTGTTCCGGCACCCCCACTCAAGAAGAAAGTAACTCCTTTATTTTTAATTACTAATAAAGTGATTGCAGTATAAGCAATACATTGTGCATCGTTAACACAATCAACATTATTTTATACACTCGACTGCTGCGCTTCATTCTGAAAGTGTTGATGCTCAAACAAAAATCAGTTACCAATTATTACATTCCAATTTTTAGTCGATTGTGGCATGGGTGGAAAATCCAATATACTCTTGCCTAACTCATGGAGCAGCTGATTTAGCGAATATAAACCATAATCTTCAATTTGATCTTGATTAGGAGTTGAAATGCCAAACATTGTACGAATTTTGTGGCTAAGGTCATCACATAAATGCATTGAGAATTGATTCCATAACTCAAGTGAATGCAACAAAAAGTATTCTATGAGAATAATACTAAACAATCTCCTCAACTGGTATCCTATTTGCATAATTGAAGTTTCTTGAATACATTGTATCCACTCTCCATCATCTTCTCGAAGTCCTCTTGCAATACATGTTGATTTAAAAGTATCGTGCATAATATTATTTACCGTGCGTAAGTTATCAAATAATGTCAGTCCTTTGACTATAGTGAGTAACAAACGTAGACAAAAACACTCACCTGAATTTGGGCTTGCAAAGTACATTCTACCAATTGCGTACCCCCTTTGTCTAGGTGTCCATCTATGTGTTTTCTTATTCCAAACAAATTTTTGAGGAAACTCTTGGTAGGTTAACGCACATGCAGATTCATTTAAACAACAACATTCAAAAAAACCTGTCAAAGTTGTATTCTGTTGTGTACTTTTAGAAATGATTGTATCAAGTGATTCTGCCGGATTATAAACGACACGATGCATCTCAGGTAAATGAAGTTCCAAACATACAACAATTGGAATTTCTTCATGCAAAGGATTACCAAATAATCGTCAAGCAGCTTCTGGCGATGTAATATACCGTGCATCAAGATATTGTTGAATCTCATTTCCTCCACCCAGTACCATAGTGGTACGATCATGACTTTTGTAAATATACTTGTGAATGTACTTCACGCATCTTATTCCTGCACAAACTTCCACATTGATATGACAGTTGAACATTTTAAAAAGATACAGATTGTATGGTACGACATCTCTATTATCAACTTGTTGTCCCCCTCTCATTATATACACGCGACCATTATTACGATGACGATAGACAGGATATTCATCTTCATCCATACATGTTGATTCTATAAATGTTCAAGGATACTTCCTAATGCAAACACCATTTTCCATACATGATGTGCGTGGATTTCGAGCACCACATGGTCCATGTATTATACAACTCTTAATTGTATCAAAGAGAACAGGGTTATCATCCGGATCAGGAAATTCAACACATACCACATTGTCTACCTGAGAGCAAGATTGAATTTTGTCTGAGCCATAAAGGAATAAAGTGCATGCCTATGTGGCAAACCCTTTTTTTGAAATTCAATTGTAAAAACATGTGTAACTTTTTTTCCAAATAATTGTTTTGTTTCTATCTTTTTCATCAAAAATCTTCTCTTTAACTCAAAAACTCGGGCAACCAAATCAGGACGATCTAATACTGTTTGATGTGGTAACAAAGCTAAAGAAATTTCAGGCCAGTTGGGATTTGCAGTCATTGTAAGAAAGATATCTGGGTGCTGATTGTACCGTGTAATAGCCATGGAATCTTGAAAGATTTCAAACATATGTCTTACACTTCCAGTGAAAGAAGATGGCAAAATCATCTGTCGCCCAATTTGTTCAGGACCCAACTCATTTGCACTAATATCTGTAAGACCTTTATAAAGTTCTGCACAAATTTTTGATTAATTAAGCTTATAGTATGTCAATCAATTTTGTTCAGTTACAACCCAAGCATCTACTAAAAACTCTTGAAACAATTTTCCACCCCTCAAAATTGTTGAATATTCAGTGGGACGTTGAAACAAACGATAACTATAATACTGCAACTGAGTTAATCAATTAGTTGAGGGTTTACCACCTCAACTCAGGTTCCCATCCAAGCTCGCCGTGAGGAAACAATAACACATAATGCAGTGATAAATATGCTAGGTGACATTCATTTATCTGCATCAACTCATTGTTTTCTCTCAAATATAAAACAATATCTCTCATTCCACTTGACTCAATTCCATCTCCAGGTAATATAATCGCAAGCTCATCTGCTGTAGCGAGATTATATTGTCGCCGATCTGATGCTAGATTATAACAAAGATAAGCAGGCAAATTTTGACCAACTAATTCTGATTGACTTAAAATCTCTTAAGCTTGCTGAAATTTATATAGGAATGGATTTACATGCGACAAACAGTCTTGGACTATTTTTAGAACATGCATTTGCAACTGAGGATTTCTATGATTGCGAACATCTAAAGCTGCAGTAGGATCATAAATGTATAGTTTATTGTACACTGGCTCATGATTTGGTTGTGATATGAGGGATCCAGTTCGATGACGTAATTCTCCATGGATAGTGAATGATGTAGGACCCTTTCCAACTAATAATCTTGAATCCAATGTAGCACCAAGACTCATAAATGCATTAGTTGCATTGTACTCTCATATATGTTGCCGAACAGATTTTGATTTATCATCATCACCATCATACAACTCTTTAATTGCTGAAGGAGATGTAATAAGTGGAGGTAGTCTAATCTTTCCTTGCAAACAACATGTTCCAAATAAAGTATGTGATGAATTTGAAACTAACTTTTCATCCCTCCAATGCAAAGCTAAACAATGAGGACATTCTACAATCCTACCCCCAAGTGAATGTCGTTCTTCAGATAAGTAACTCCAAAACTCATAGATGCAATTTCGTCTAATTCATAGACACTACATAGATCAGATTTAAATGACGAAGTTAAAAACTACATACTCGATGTTTTGGTTTTGTATAGTTCAAACACATAAATGTAAGATATCCTAAATTATTACACATACCTAGAGGATGATCCTGCTTGCACCGTGGTGTCGCTATTCACGTTTGTCATTTCTTGGAACATGATCGTCGTAGACAATGAACACGATACATTTTTTAGTACAGTGCGTTCATCTGCAAAATCATGGATTTTCAATTGTGTCGAGGTGCCTCGCCACAATTTTGTTGATGTATTTCATTGATCATTGGAATCACAAACGATGACCCCAATTCATTGATCGACACAATTCTTTCAACTGCAAGTGCAAAAATCTCCATGGAACACCCAGAGAATGGTTCTAATTGCATCATGCTACAAACTTCAACGCTCTGTGGATGTAATCCTTGGAGCATAGTGGTCATAGACAATGACCCCAATACATTTGGTTGCATAGTGCATTTTCTCGAAAGCTCAAGAAGTTTTGTAAACATGGAGTCAATGCGCGATCTTTTAATTGTAGCTAGCTCTAATTGAGCTCGATGACGACGACTTGGTGTTAAAGAAGGAAAAAATCTAGGTTGGATGGGTGAATGTACTGATCTATATCGTTCCCAACGTACAAGTTGTGCCAATTAACGTTTTGACATAATAACATCATCGGTTGCCTAAAAATAAAAATAATAATAATAATATTGTTGTAAACGATAAAAAATAAATAATTTAACAAATATATTTATTTAATGCATAGGCAATTGATCAATCATACCCTTTGGCACTCTATATTTTCCTTCCCTTTGCAAGAACAACTTATTTTTTCTTTTCCTTTAGAGCTCACATTCACCACCGAGTTAGATTTATTTCCCCCTTCAAAATATCAAGCGGATAAACAAAAAATCATATTTGTTTAAAAATTAATAACAATACACGAAAAGGATAAGACATGATACTACCTCAACTATGCTAAGGCGATTAACATCACAATCATTGTGGATCACAACGCCTATATTATTTCTAGGTTGAATGGGTGGGTGTTCCAATCTCTCTCGTTCCCTTCGTGCACGTTGTGCCAATTGACGTTTTGATATAACATTACCATTGGTTTCCTAAAATAAAAAAGAAAAATATATATATATTTTTGTGAATGCTAAATAATTTCTTAACAATTACAACTATGATTGTGTAAGCAATTGATTAATCATACAACTTGGATCTCTATATTTTCCTTTCTTTTGTCAGAACAGGTTGCTTTTTCTTTTCCTTTTGAGCTAGCATTAGCCATCGCAAGCTTTGCTTTGTCCTTTAAGAATGTAGATAAGATAAAAATAATTAATAACAAAAGACATTAATAACAATACACTAAAAATAGTGTGATGTGGTACCTCCTTCTCAATGTTAAGACGATTAAGATCACGTTCACTACGGATAACAACAGATATGTTATTTTGTCGAAGCAAACGAACCTACAATTTCAACGACACTCTGAAGTTAAACTGACTCTTAAAAAGTAAGATAAACAATAAGAAAAGTGAGAAGAACATTAGCTTACTGTGTGGTCTAGGTCTATATCCATCTGTAATAAGACAGGTGAAATCAAAGTACTAAGTATTGAAACATTTTTTATAGAAACAAATGAGAGAGGTTTAGAGTGAAATCTATAGAATAAGTTGCTTGCATGGCCAAAAATGGTAACGTTGTCCATTGTGTAACAGTTGTGTTTTTTCAGTTGTGGTGTGATTAACTGTGTTAAACATAAAACCAAAGTTTAAGAAAAGAGCATTGTAGTTAGAAACAATGACCTTGCATAAGTTACTTAATAGAAGATTTTTCAATTTATGCACTCAGAAAAATATAGGCCACGTAAATATAATGACTCACTCAATGCATTTAGAAGACTTAGTTTCCATGAAAAAATTCAAATGCACAAAAAAACAATTCAAAAGAGAAGTCATATAATAGTACAAATAAATGATATAGGCAAAAATAGCAACATAACAAGAACAAAAAGTAAAAAATAGGCCCATATACTAATTTTTGTGATCCCAATGCAACAACTAGCAAATAAAACGCACATTTCTCAAATCTCTGTTAACATTCTACTTTTTGGTTCTCATGTGTAGAAGTATGTTTTATACTCTACTGCTATGTCCATTTGGTGAATAATGTGGGCAACTCATGCAAATAAAAACTAAGTGACAATAAAAACTCAAGAGGACAGAGAAAAACTAAATAAAAACTCATGCAAATTCAATTATGCGTGACAATAAGCCCTCAAGAGGACAAAGTCTTTAAAAAACTAAGACAGACCAATTAGATTAGAGTCATTAGACCTAATTAATAAAAGCTCAACCATGAAACTGCTTTAATTAAGTAACAGCAGCCAACTGTTGAACTAACACAACCATCGACCAATTAAAGGATTTAATACCACCAGAGAAAATCCAATACAATCACCAAATAGTATAATGCATACAACTCCAGAGAGAGATTCATTCTAAGTTAGTAAGCTAAAAAAAATAAAAGAATAGAAGAAAACGAAGAAGCAAGTATGCCGCACATAATTACCTCATCAAGTAAATATAAAATTCACATTTAAATTTATCAAAACACCATTCAAAATTAACAACAAAGCAGCAAAGCACACACAAAGCAACATTAAGATTTCAATTAACAAAATCCTGAAAAGCTTCAGAATTCCTGAATTATCTGAAGGGTGGTTGTCTCCTATTCATGGTTTCACTAATCATATTGAAAGCATCTTCTCTTTGAGCACGCAACAAACAAAAGCTTTGAGCAGGAGTGGTAATTAAAAGTTTTACTCCAGAAGGGAACATGTTTAAGGATATCAATTGCTTCATCGCAGAACCAAATTATGGTCAGAGATGTTCCTTCCATCACGAAGGACATGACACATTGGGTTATCAGCAGTTAAGGAGCACTAGACCTCTTTTTCTTCTTTTCTAGTTTTTGGTATTTGGATGTCTAAATTTTGCTTGAAATAATTCTTACATGTTCTGAGGCAAACTTCACTGTTCAGAGAAATCATATGGCAGCACTGTGAAAACATAAAATAAATTTGTTAACTTATGCTTTGAATTAAATTAGTTTGTCATGATCTAATTATCTTAAGACAGAATTATATTACTTTTTGCTAGCATTCAATGTGCTAATACTGATCTGATGCAGGATATTTTAGATCCTTATGCCATGTTTTCTTTGGTTTCAGTTCCTAATCTGGTCAGTATGTTTCATCTGCTTATCACTTTTTAGTTTGAACTTTAGATGCGTAACGAATGCTAATGGCAAGTTAGATGTAGTCACAAAATAGCATTGAATACTGCTCTTGCGTGCTTATAACGATTAAACTGTGCACTTTCTTTATTACCTCCCGGTCATTCTGTTCAGTTGTTCTTTTCATATTTGTGGTAAACATTGATTGTGAGCATCACTGTTATGCGATGTAGTCACGAATTCAAAGCGCACATGGTTGCAATGATTCTCCATTATCGAAAAAAGAAAAAAGAAAAAACATATTGACGACTCTATTTTTCAAGAGAATGAAGAACTTAATGTCTTTAACTGATACTGCTGCTTCTACTACACATACTGCTGCTTCCAATGTTATAAGTATAAGGAGGAAAGGAGTTTCAAACCCTCTACATTTGAGATTGTTTGTTTCATGAATACATATAGTAAGATGTGGTACAAACAGCATGTCATTTATACCCAGGGAGAGGGAAGGATCTATCCACCGCCATAAACATGTGCATGTAACTATATATAGTTATATACAATTTGTGATATGGGCCATGCCCCCCCCCCCTCAAGTTTCTAAAATTAGGTTTTAGCGTTATACTTGCTTCTTCGGTAATTACTCTGTATCTTCCTGAATTCCTGAATGTTTTAGGCTAAAACGAAGAAGCAAGTATGCCGCACATAATTACCTCATCTAGTAAATATAAAATTCACATTTAAATTTATCAAAACACCATTCAAAATTAACA